GCTCTCAAAAAGTATTTCACAAATATCTCTATGTTTGTGATGATAGAGAGTTAGAAACTATGGATGTGACTTTTTCTATGCTTGTGTTATTTTGCTATTTTGGTAAGTCCTAAGACTCCTAACCATGTTATGTAGGTTAAAATAATCGCAAATTCAAAGAGACGCATTACATTTTGACCAATAACATATGAATTTCAATTGTATTGCTGCATTATCTTATCTTATAGTTGCTGTCAAAAAAAAACTCATCTTATAGTTACAAAAGCTGAAAAACCTAATTGTGATTAGTATTCAAGAGAAGGATTACCATCATTATTCCGATCTAGCCATCCTATTGATGTGAGGATTCTTGTGCACAAAAAAGGGTGGAATATTCAGGGCCGGTCCTGACCATTTCTGGGCCTATGGGCGGTACATTATTCTGGGCCTATGACCGTATACTTATTTGAAATAAGAATTATAATAAAAATATCCAATGAAGTTCATAAAATAAAGTCAAAAATTACTTCATTATTATTATTTAAGTTACATATTTGGGCAAAAGTAACAACACAAGTATCGGACAAAAAGAAAAAACATCAGTAAAAAACATTTCTCGTAGAACAATATGAAGAAAATAATCAATAATCGCTTCATAGGCGACCTTCTTTCTATTAATACATGACAAACAATAAAATTGCCACATATAACAAAACTAAACTTTTTTTTGAAAGGAAATATGAAAAAAATATCACTACATATTAAATTAACAAGTTGAGAATGATTTATTGACCATTGATGGGAGTCTAGAGTTTGAAGTCTCGAAAGAATAAAGGTTTTCAAAGAGACAAAATGTATGGCCGCCAAGAACACTCGCGCAAGAAGACTGCCAATTTGACGTCCTCTAAACTACTATCAGGAACTCAGATATATTTTATTGAAATTTGGAAACAAATAAATAATTGGGATGAGATTTGAGAGAGATGGGCTCTAAAATAATTATATAAATTTGTTATGTTATAATTAAATGAATAAAAAGCCTTAAAGGCTAAAGAGATGTAAAGACTACAACAAATCCTACTTAAAATTAATGTATATATTCTTTTTTTGATGGAGCAACAATTGTATTGCTTTTAAAAACTACAATTGATCCTACTTAATATTAATGTATATATTCTTTTTTAAACTTGGCTCTGTTTAAAAAATTTTATTTACATTTTAAATTTTCAAATTGTCAACAAAATTAAACATTAGGCCTAATTAACTGACCTTAAGAATTAAAAAAAGAAGCCTACTAACACTATACATAAAGAAAACAATTTGGGCCTATTTTTTCTTCTATTTTTTTCTGGGCCTAGGGCGGTCGCCCCTCTTGCCCTCCCCAGAACCAGCCCTGGGAATATTGTTCAACCTCTCCAAATTAAAGTGGGTAATGGTTATCGACTTCCTTCTTTGACGTATGGCATCGCAATTTTATTTTTTCAAATTATTATGCTTTTTTCTATTTATGACCCAATCTTTTTAAAAAAATATATCAAATTAAATATTTTTATGATTTTTGAAATAATATTAAGATGTTTTCTTTTGGACTCGAATTTGCTGGTCTGGTCTGATATGGTCTAATCTGGTCTGAACTGGTCTGGTATGGTAAACGTCTGGTCTCTGTGTATTTTATAACTACGGAAGTCAATTCTAGTCAGATCTGGGACTGAAAACAGTCCAAGAGTCTGGTCTGATCGCAATTTTAAATATTCAAAGAAACTATTTTTACATATGTTGCATATTTAAAACTTTTGTATATTTATGAAAATATACATAAATCCGGTCTTTTTAAATATACATATGGTAAAATACATCGTACAGCCGGCTGTACCGTGCACATGGTACAGCCAGCCTTTTTTGGCTTTTGCGCTTCTTCCTCCCCTCGCACGTGAAGATCATCGATCTGGTTCGCACCAGCAGATTCATGTGCTTCCTCGATAAACATGTAGAAGCCCTACATCAAAACCATCTGTTGAAGTGAAAACCAGTTACAAAACCTCAACAAAGTATTACATCTACCGAGGTGAAAACCATTCACAAAACCCTTCAACCCCATCGTCACTCTCCAACACAGAAACCATTCTGACATCCTTTTTGCAATTATAAGCTCTAACTACAACCATCCTGACACCACAAACCCCTTATGACAATTTTTTATTAATGTTAAATCTGTTACATATGAAAATGAGTCTTAACAAATGAAATTATGAGCATAGTAGACATTTCAAATGAGTTTTTGAATGCTCATCTCGTAATTTATGTGTACTCATTTGATATTAGTGCAATACTCATTTTAAAATGTCATATTCATGCATATTTCAAAATGAGTTTTATGTTAAACTCAAATGAGTATAACACCCAAAATGAATGAGTACACACAATTACACAAATGAGTTTTTTAATATTTTGATACTCATTTTGTAAGTTATGTATGCTCATTTGGTACTGTTTTATGCTCATTTTAAAAGGTTGCACATGTTAAACATATCATAATCCATTAGATTCACATATTGAAATTAAATGAAATTGATTATAGACATATTTTAAAGACATTAATAAACGAAAAAAATATTAAACGGAATGCGATATAAGATGAATGAAGCAGATATCACTAATCCTGACCGATAGGCTCCTAATACTCAAAAGAACAGGCTCGACGCTCATTAAAATTGATTCAATGCTCATTTAAGACAATCCTTGATTTTCACCAAAATTACAAGTTTGCCACCGGTCGTACGGCTGACACCGTACAACCGGGTGTACCATATACGCTTCCATATACATATTGTAAACTAAATATGCAAAACTTTTGTATATTTATGAAAAAATGGATACAAATGATCTTTTTCCTATTATATATATGTTGCATATTTTAAACTGTTAAAAAATGGATATAAATAGATATTTAAAAAATTAGGAGTAAATAAATCCTTAATTGCTAAAATAGGAGTAAAGTTTAAGAGTTCCCCAAATATGAGTTATTATTTGCTATTGGACATATATACCCCAAGCTTGCACAAACTTGCTCCTGCAGACAAAAGCTAGACCGCCGTTGGTCACCTGTCACCACCCGACTCCGGCGCCGCCAGCCACTGTCACCACCGCAGAATTGGTTGCCGCTACAGATCAAAACTGGCCGCCCCTGGCCGCCGACCGCTACCCCTGCAGATTTGGCCGCCGCCACTTTAGATCCGAGCTCCGCCTTGCACATCCGGACTCTGTCGTTGTAGATCTAACCGACTCCGCCATCTATGCCAATATTTCCATTAGAGTGCCAACATAAATTGAGAATGTCATTTGAATGGCATTTTCAGAAGAAAATATGGAATTTTTGAAGTGTAAGAATGCCATTTTAATGGCATTTTGAGATTAAGTTTGGAATTTTTTAACAATCAAACAAGAAACAGAGGTCTGAACTCTAGTCTTGCCACAAAAAAGTTGAAACAAAAGAGGAACGGAAAGGTGAAACAAAAGAGGGATGGAAAGATGAAGCAAAAGAGGGATCGGATACCTCGCCGTATTCTATGGATTTTGCGACTGCTTTCTATTCATCGCGTTTCATCATCTCACCTTCGTCTTTAACTTTCCCGTCCATGGAACCATTGAGCACTTGCTCCGTATAATATTGATACTCCGTATATGTGAAGCAGATAAGAACAAAAAGAAAAAGACGTGGGGCTGAGATATGAGTGGAGTGCACAATTTGGCATATCACGAACTGGGGCTGAGATTTTGGGAGGAGCGAACTATCGTTAAGGGTAAAACAGGAATAATATTGAAACAAAAATAGTCCTACGGGAGCTTATTCGGTCTTATTTAGTCCCATTTAGAACCAATTTCTCTTCTTTCAATTTTCATATGTAATTATGTAAACCATCATTTGTTTTCATAAAGAATGATGATACATGAGATTAATTAAAAGATGTGTACTGATTTAGTAATTTACGGTATATCACGAACTGACCTCTATGTGACCAAAGTCTTACTATAGAGAATCTAAGGTGGAATTGTGGAAATCTTTTCATAGTCAAGATCACAACCAATTACTTTTACATGACCAACGTCTTACTAAGAAAATACATGTAGTATTGTAAGTCAAAAAGTACCCCGTCCAAAAGATTTTTAATAGTTTATTGTTATTATAATAACAATAAATAATCGATCAAAAAAATAACAATAAATAAAGATTCTAGTTACTGAAATTTTCATGTTCTAAGTCGTGTGTACAAACATTATGATTGCTTGCATGTGCGTATGTACGCTCCTTCCATTTCATTGGATTTTCACAATTTTATTTTTTGTTTTTCGACCAAAACTATCATTTTCCTCTTAATATAAATAATTTATAATTCCGTTTATTTATTTTTCTTCTGCACAATTTATTAATCACACAATTTTTTACTGTTTTTATTAATCACACAATTTTTTACTGTTTTTATTTTATATATAATTATTATTACCCCCGTTCCATTAAGATTGTGATAAGAGGGCGTGGGCCGCGTGGTGCAGCTTTTAAGAAAAGTTGAACTGTATGTTGATATTGAATTATTAAAGTGCAAAAAATAAGAATGCATTGTAATCATCCAAACATTATCAAATATGACATGCGACAAACTTAATAGGAGGAACGAAAAAAGAATATTGGGACAAAATCAAGGGACGGAGGGAGTATTTGACAATGTTAACTAATATTAATAATTTAATTTATTATTATGTTAATATTATTCAAATCTAAAATGATTAGTATAATGACATGGACAAAAAGGAATGATGATAGACAAGAATATGAGATATGATAAAGATGAGTTGAACCTTGTCTTTTTAACAAAGAGAGCCTCATCAACTTTTTGGCAAAAATAGTGTATATCCCAGAATCCAATAGCAGCCCCGCCAAAATTCTGGCCTTGTTCTCGTGACCAGACAGTCTCTTCACCCGTGAGCCGTTTACCATCTCAGCTGGAAAGCTTTTGAGAATTGCAGAAAAACGTCGGCGCCTTGGACTTCTAATTTCATAGCTTTTGAATGATTTCTCCTCACATCCTTTTTTCGTTAATGTGTTGTAATAACTAGTAAGTGCATAAATGCTGTTCGTGCATCTCGGTGGTATAAGGTGACGATTTCTACTGTTATTTCCCTTTTAACTTTTTATTACCGTTTTATTTTGTGTTTCTCATTTTTGAACAGCTCATAAATGAATTTATTATTACGCTTTTTTATTATTTATTTATGCATAAGCTCACCTCTGAGATTATGTTGAGCAGTTGAGAGGAGCGGAAAAGGAGGAGAGACTGAGAATCTTCTTCCGCCATACGCGTCGTCGTAACCGACTTAGCCAGATAGAAATAGACATACAAACTGAGTGAGAGACGTAGAAATGGAGGTGGAGGGTAGTAGTGGAAAGAAGATAACGATTGGAGTATGTGTAATGGAAAAGAAGGTGAAATGCGGCCCCGAGGTTCTGTATTTTTTTCTGAATTTATATTTATTAAAAATATAGCAAGTTCTCTTGCACAACCTGCACCGGAATCATACTGTTTTATATACAGATTTGATCGTGTATCAGTCAGTGATTTATTGGTTTTTTTTGAACTGATTTTAGGCATTTTCAGCACCTATGGGGCAGATTCTAGACAGGTTACAGTCATTTGGTGAATTTGAGGTGCTCATTCTATCCATTCACCACTTTTCTGAACTTGATTATTCCTATAAAGCAAATGTGTTTTCAAAATGCTCTTGCTAGCTTTTAGAAAATGAAAATTATACAGTAACAGGTTCCTATATTGCCGTTTTGGAACTTCCTTTTGCTTATTTACTTGATCTTTCAGTTGTACGAATGGATTGGTGTTGCTGTTGTAACTTTATTTTTAAAGCTGTACAATACATTCATGATGCTGGCAGGTTGTACATTTTGGAGACAAGGTTATCCTTGAGGATCCAATCGAGCGGTATGGTTTCTATTTGATCTAGTAGAGCTCTCAATAGCTGTTATGATGCTGTTTTGAGTGGCGTAGCCAGGGGCAAACTAGGTTGGGCCGGCACAAAGAGTTTTTTGGGGGAAAATGTAACACAATTTTTTAAAAGATTTTTTAATTTGCGGTGGGGCAGAGCATATCATGGCACCCTACCTCCGCCCATGGCTGTTTATGGATGTTTTATTTTGTATATGGGTTCTCCCTTACATGTCCAGACGTGCTGAGTTTGTTAAATATATCTAATATCTAACAAGAGAGTTGTATTCAAAATTCTGTCATTGCTGCTTTACACAAGGCAACTGGCTCCAAACTTTAATGTATCATTGCTAATCTTATAATTTGTTTACTGTTGCAGCTGGCCAATATGCGACTGCTTGATTGCCTTCTATTCTTCTAGGTATCCTTTAAAGAAGGCTGAGGCATATGCTAAATTGAGAAAGTATGCACTCTTTTTCTCTCCTCTATTTTACTGTTTTATTGTAGATTTGGAAGCTTGGGTTGATTGTAGTATTTGGAAGCTTCCCCATTGGTGAAGTTTCTTTTGTTCCCTACTCCCTAACATACTTTAGTAAGTGGAGTATGTATCTAGAGGGGATAGCTATGCCAGTAAGCATGAATATTTAATTCGAGGAGTATGAAATTAAGAACATCTATGTTGGATATAAGAGTATACAAGTGAATGTATTATGTATGGAGGTGTTGCTTTGCAAGAATGTAATATTCAAGCCAATATATTACTATTATGTACTCTCTCTCTCTCTTTATTTTTCTTTTATTGTTCCATATTCCATTTTGGGAAGTTTTTCTTATTAACTACTCAATATCCTAATTTTGGAAAGTTTCACAATCATCTCTATACATTTACTTTACATAAATATCCTTACTTTTCTATCTTCTCTTACTTTTTCTACTTTTCATTGTCTTTCTTCTGCTATTCATTGCCCCACCCAAACCCTATTTGAACAATTAATAAAAAACGGAGGGAGCATGACTCAGAATGTTTCTGAACATCTAGTTTTAGATAATGAAATGTATTTTTACAGTTAAGTCCATACTTCTATAGCCTTGAGACCATACTAATTCTGGCATTCTGTTCTAATTAAGAGGTTATAACTGAATATACTTATATGCATTCAAAATTACTAGTTGCAAACAGAATACTTTGTTATAACCTACATGTTATTCCTCAATAGAGTATTAAAATATAGAATTTTTTTATTCACCATTTTAACATTTATGTAGGCTTTTGCAATTTTGAAAGCATGCTTGCTTATATTGCTTTATTGACTCATCAACTCAGGCCCTTCCTTGTAAATGAGCTGGAGCCACAACACCTTCTACATGATAGGAGGAAAGTCTATGAGGTGCACAAATAATTCTGTCATTTCTACTTCGACTGTCCGAAAAATAAAGAATCTAATGGGCAATTTTGGCTCTTTCCGGCTTCTCCTAAGTGTTCTCTTCATGAGTAGGATTTCTGCAATCCCCCCCCCCCCCCCCCCTCTATTCTTAAATTCTTTTGCAACAGATTGAAGCACCTTCTAGGGGTTTGTCTACCTGTTTGTGAAATGGGATTAGGTTCCTCTCAATTAGCTTATTACTAATCAGCAGTATTTTATTCCTACTCATTTCCATGAAAGATAGTCTGGAAGATGGATACATAATTTTATTACCCCAACCTTCATTTTAATTCTACTTGGTTTTTCAGCGGCTTGAGTTATATGGAATTCCTGTTCCAAGATATGCATGCGTTAATAGAGAATTCCCCTACCAAGAGTTGGATTATTTTATTGAGGAGGAAGACTTCGTTGAAGTCCATGGGAATCGTTTCTGGAAACCTTTTGTGGAGAAACCGGTTGATGGTAATTTACACATATCCTACATTCCCTGCATCAAAATTTGTTTGCAACTCGTTTTATCTAAACTTTTAAGGGTTGGAGTACAATGGGCTGTCGTCACCGAACGCCCCCCCTCCTTCCGGATAATTGTGACTTATAGAGTAGCTGAGCACCAGCTGGTGCGCACAACTGATCTGAAGAAAGTAATCTCACATTTTTGGTGGATTATCTCTTAGAGCTCACTCGGTGAGTTAGACTAGAAGTGTGCCTGTCTTCAATCTCATTAATTAAGTCTTGTTTCAAATTTTTGACTAACCAAACAGCCTTTTAGCAACTGTGTCAAGCTTCACGAATACATAATTTAAGTAGCTTTAATTAATTAATAGTAATTAATAAATTAATTAATACGGAGTAGTAATTAATTAATTTATCGAACTCCAATTCCAACAGCAGAAATTGTACTGTCACAATTATCCTCCCCTTACAAACATAATGCGCATTTAAGACTTGGAGTCTCATCCCAAAAGGTAAATCTAAAATGTCAACCTGATAGTAGGAGCAGTCAAGGTCCACTCGATACCTCGTCATTATTGTGTACCTTTCTCTCTCTCATGGTTACACCTCTCATAGCCTGATGTTATCGACAATCTTTTATTTTTTCTTATGAAGAGACATGCCCCTCATGGCCCGACAGCTCTCCTTGACAGGGGCTCACATCATGGTAATGGATCAAGTTGGCTCTAACACAATGTGAAAGTCAACATGAAAAGAGGAATAACTCAGTGTCTCATATCATATGTTGATTTGATATTTTAGATTTAACTGATGTGGGGCAATTCTTTAATAATGTGAAGCGTGTAGGCTGGCAAAGATCTTCAAAAATTTCAAAACAAAATCAAAATCCATTTCAAATTTGTTAGCATCTTCCGAACTCTTGAAAGTTTCTCTCTGCTGTGGTCGTCTGCAAACAACCTCTCTACTCCTAGGGTAGTTGTAAGGTTTGGGTACCTCTCACCCTGTGTGGACCATACTTCCGAGTGAGACATACTGAGCATGTTTGGTTTGGTTTTTGTAGACTGCCTATGGGATACCGTTTAGAGCCCCATTGGGAAATATAAGTGTTGGTGATAACTACCTTGTGCTACATTGCATGCAAGAAAATGCTCTCCTTTAACAAACTCATTATTCATTTAGTGAAAAGTGATAGTTCATTATTTACTTTTCCACATTGCATGTATTAAATGTTCTTGGTGTTAGTCTCCTGAGAGCTACAGTCTAAAAGTAATAATATAGAAGTTCTTAATGGTAGACTTGTGAATTCTACAATCTGAAATGTCAGTATTTTGGATCTGTCTCAGTGACAGAGCCAAAGTTATAACCTAAAAGTTGAAAGTAACACCTATTACTACAGGGTAGCCCAGTGTACACTGGCGTCCTAGCAAGGTGAGGGTATGGGAATGGGTCCCACCACAAGGGTGACCACAGGGGGGTGTATAAGGAGCAAGGCCTTCCCTCATCATTTTGACAAGAGACTGCTCCCAAGACCTGATAAGCTACCACAAAGTAACACCTATCACTAAACTATTTTTGGTAAAAGTATTATTTTCAACTTTAATTTTACATTTGGCCCCATCTAATGATCTAACCCAAGTTTCACGCATGTTCTTATCTGATAAAATAGAGAATTCATAAGCTGTGCACCATTGTCTACCTTACCATAGTCCATAATGTGGATCTATGTAGTTGGGTGTAAGCTGTTGAGCGTTTTGTGTTTACTGCTTATGCTGATGCTGAATTGATGATGGTGATGCTTCTTATGCTGTATAAGTACTCTTCAGGTCATAAGTTATTATTTTTGTTGATCATATGGATCAATGGAAAAGTACCCCCAACCCTCTAACACCTGATCTGTGTTTTATACCAAGTGTGATATGCTTGTTGTATCATTTCATCAATACACATTATCAAATCCATTCCACTTTTGGGCAGGTGATGACCATAGCATAATGATATACTATCCCAGTTCAGCTGGGGGAGGAATGAAAGAATTGTTCCGAAAGGTGAGAATATAATTTATAGTGCATTAGCTTTTCAGTTAAGATCAAGTATTCCTGATGATTCACCTATCACTGCTATATTTCTAATGTGCTACTAACCATAATATATGACGGGGTATTAAATGTTCATAAACTAAGGAGTGCCTTTTTTAATCATTGGTCTCAATTTTGGTTAACACTATTGTCAATGTTTAGGCAGTTTATTATTGTTTTCATGTGTTTGGGCTAAATCTTTTCCAGGTTGGAAACCGCTCTAGTGAGTTTCATCCGGAGGTTAGAAGAGTCAGGCGTGAAGGGTCCTACATATATGAGGAATTTATGCCTACTGGAGGAACAGACGTAAAGGTACTAAGTTTATACAATTTATACAATTTGGTACTAGGAATCATGCTAAGTTTGTATATCAGACCTATCTGTTTTTACTAAATTGATTTGCGACTATGAAAATTGACCCCATTGCAAGATATTGAACTTTTAGTTGATTTGCATTGCGTGTATACTCTAGGAGCTTATATATATATTCTGCTTCCTTTCTGCATTATTCTGCTTGATAGAAGACATTTTAGAAAGCTCTTCTTTACATATGTTAATGATCCTCTGTCTCACATTATCCATTAGCCCATTTATTGTCTACATAGGTTTACACTGTTGGCCCGGACTATGCACATGCAGAGGCCAGGAAATCTCCTGTTGTTGACGGTGTTGTGATGAGAAATCCTGATGGAAAAGAGGTGACTGTTTTCCTCATGCTGCTTCCATTTGAATTTTGTGCCATAGAAGTCTTCAATTTCATATTCATCCTTGAAACAGCAATGGGAGTGATTGGAAATGGGTCTATTGGCTCTTAGTTGGAAAGTATTTGAAAGAAGTGTGTTCTTTTGCAGGTCAGATATCCTGTTCTACTTACCCCCACAGAAAAGCAGATGTCAAGAGAAGTTTGCATTGCTTTCAGGCAATCTGTAAGTCACATGAATTCATGAAACTGTTAAAGATCTTCCATCTTTAATGTATCAATTCTTACTAACTTGTAATGAGGTGTACAATATTCATCAAATTATAGAAAATTTTGTTTGCATGAAACTAAATATGCTGATAAAGGGAAGGTTATGTTGGTATGATAAAGTCATTTTCTCTAGGGGAGGCATAATGTCTGATAAATTCATATGTATTGAAATGCTGATTCTTACTGACATTTAGGAGGGTTAAACAACTAATCGAGTTCTACTATATTTGATCGCCTGCAATTGAATATTCGAATGAGCTGGGAAAGGGAAGCTGATAAGTATATGATATAAATATTGGATGATTGGAAAGGTAATTGAGTCCTAATTTTACGGGAAATAGTTTGGTCAGTTCATTAGTTGCAATATCTTATTACTTTAATTTTCTTCTATCTTTTTGGCTGTTGCATTAAACTGGATAGGGCTTTAGCGTATAGATGCAACCATTCATCCCTGATCATAATGTAGGGTAGAGTACATAATCCTTCATGGTATCATAAGAATGTAGGCCAAATCACCAAATTGGTAAAAAAGAGGCTGGTTTATCAAATTGGTAAAAAAACCTCTAGAGACAAATTGGTAAAAAAACTGGTGACAAATTGGTCATTTTTTTGTGAGTGAGACAATTTTAGTCATCGACTTTAGAGTTCTCGACATTTTGTCCTTTAAGTGTTGTGAAAACTTATAATTTTACAAGTATTAAAAAAATTCTACTCCATAAAATCACTATGAATATTTTTACTATTTTATCAGTATGAATATTTTTCCTATTTTATATGGAGTAGCATTTCTACAAAAACTAACAAAATAGTCATATTTAAAATATTAATACTAAAAATAAATGAATTTATATGTGTGTGCTCGTGTAAATGTACATGTGCTAAAAGCCTAAAAATGATAGTGGCTGTAGTTATATAAAATAAAAGTAAATATAATTTTTAAAACTTTTCCCAAAACTTATTAAAAAATAAAATAAAAAAGTTAAATATATATACTCTTAAATTTATAATCTTAATAGTCATTTTATGTCTTAACAACTAATTGCAAACATCTAAGTTATAAACATTATACTTCAAACCGCTAGTGAAAGTGGTTGGTTAAAACTTAAAACCGCTAACAGAATCCGTTAGTATCAATTTGTTGATTCAACTGGCTATCAGCTAGCAGCCAACCACTAATTCTAAAAAATTTGACCAATTCGTCATCATAGCTTTGTTTTTTACCCATTTGGTAAACCACCTTTTTTTTTACCAATTTGGTAATTTGGCCTAGGAATTTAACCAACTTCATAGAATGGTTTCTCTCTTTCCTTGTTCTTAATGCAAGGGCAATACTGGGACATCACTAACACACCTCTGATGCCTGCGTTAACCAAAATAATGGTCAATGGATATATATAGTTCATACAGTGCATAATTTTGCAGTGATTTCTTGGTTGACAAAATTGGGTAAATCCCTCTTTTGGTTCCTCCTGGCTTATCTGGTTTGTTTCAGTCTGTTTTTCGTTAAACCCTGCCAGATGTATACATCTATTTACATGTTATAGTATACACAGCAAGGACACAACACTGCTGTCTGGAATAGACGAAAGAAGGGAGGACCAAATAGAGCCCTGTAGCTGATGCATCTATCAATACCAAATATGCCCCCCTCAACCCACCCACCCACTCACAAACTAGGCTATCTAATGTAGCCGCTTGACAAAAGAAGGGAGGCCCAATTAGAGCCCTGTAGCTGATGCATCTATCAAAACCAAATATGCCCCCCTCCCTCCCTCCCTCCCTCCCTCAACCCACCTACCCACCCACACACAAACTAGGCTATCTAATGTAGTCGTTCATTACAGAAAAATATATTGTAAGAAGAGTATTATTTCACGCGCTTTGAGGGTAACTCTTTTTTTTATAATGGCGTTTTCAGGTTTGTGGCTTTGATCTATTGCGATGTGAGGGGCGTTCCTATGTTTGTGATGTGAACGGATGGAGTTTTGTTAAGAATTCCTACAAGTAATGCTTTAACAAATACTTTAATGCATTTGCTTCCCTTATACTCCGTATTAAAGAAATGCTTTACCAAGTCTTCCCTTGCATTTGCTTCCCTTATATTAAAGAAATGCTTTACCGAGTCTTCCCTTGTCTTCACATGATTACCATTTATACTATCATGCAGTAGCGGAGCCAGAAAAACAATTCAGAAGACTTAGATAATGGTAGTTTAAATGAGACTAATAGAGTTATAGATTTGATAGATATGTCACATACATTAAATTTTGCTCATGTCAAGTTTAGACAGTGCTGATTTTCAGGAGTCACAACTTTTTACTCGTAATGAGTTACGAGAGCCATAATATATAAAAAATGAAGGTATTTCAGTACTCTATATTAGAAGTTTCACTATTCTAATTATTACTAGCGTTTTGTACGCGCAATGCGCGATAACCTGTGCCCACTGTAATGCATATGATTTTTTTTGTTTGAGTTCATGGATAGAGTCAAAGTACACGTGAGAAATGCAAATGATCTTTGAAAATATATTTCTCTCTAGAAGCTTTCTAACAGAATAACTGATTTTTCTGGTGATAAGGTAGTCGGCTAGCATTGCGCCTCTCCTAGCCACCTAGACAAGCATGATAATGAGAGAATGTTAATGGTAAATACAGCATGCGCTTGGATTAATGATAAATTCAGCATGCAGAGATAGTGGGAAAACCAAAATTGCTTTAACTAACTCATATTTACTTTTATAAAAAAAACTCATATTTACTTTTATAAAAAAAACTCATATTTACTGTTAACCTGATATGATTATGAGAATCCTCCTAACTTTAAAAAATTACATAAATACAGAACATATTTTACCAATGAGTATAGGTTGCATTTTTCTAGAAATTGATCAAAACAAAATGTCAATGGTTCTATGTATAGATTAGGTTGTTGACATTTTTTTACTCATGTACACATTGAATGGATAAGTGAATGCTAGAGACTCGATTAAGCACGCAGCCAAGAAACTCAATGTTCAATATGATGTAGAAGATAATTTATTTCAGACTTGAATGGACTCTTTTTAGGATTTGACTCAAATGGCCAGTACAATGCCCCATGAGTTTTTTAAAGTTCATACGAAACAATGAAACAGTGAGAAATGAAATGATTGATCTGATAAAGAATTCTAAAGCTCAACCAAGAATAAATACTTTGTTTTGGCATGATTCAATAAACAACTATTTTTGAATGGTCAAAAGAGTCCTACACAGGATTGGGAAAACTCAAACAAAACAGTGAAGGAGCCAATAACTAATGCAAAAAAAACAGTAATATTAAATTCTAAGGGAAGGAATCCCAAAATAATCCATCCAATAGGCCCGCCTGGCTAGAATCGGTCATTGAGTTGGGCTTCCATAAGTCGTTAACAGATTCGTTCGGCCCAATGCTAAATAATGAGCAGTAGCCAATAACTAATGCAATTTTAAATAATTTAACAGCTCAATCCAGAAAATTTGAGAATATTACCCGAAATAGGATTAAAAAGCTTTGAAAATTTCAAAATAGGACTGCCATGTTTTTATTCCCAAAATAGGACTAATTCCTGTCATGTTTTGGCAGAACCAGACTTCACACATGGCAGTATTTTCCAAACTTGGCAGTAATTACTCCTATTTTGGGAATAAAAAACATGACAGTCCTATTTTGGAATTTTCAAACTGTTTTAGTCCTATTTCGGGAACTTTCCCCCAGAATTTCTAGCGCATAGTACATGGGAGGCTAGTTTAGCTTAGGCAAATGTTCTATCAAACTTTACACTTAGCTGCCAGCTCGATCAAGAATATATCAATATTACTCTGTATATGCTTATTGAAAATGACGGTTGCCTTAGAAACTGTATCCCTAAAACTTGAATTAGGTAGAGCTATGGAGTATTTTGAGGCTAGTGTTGTATTAATCTGTTTTGTTTGAACACTGAATTAGCATATAACCAACAATAGATCCCAGTATGGCAGTATATTATCTATTCATATGTGATGCACATTTTCATGGAAATTTACATTTTGCAACTACAAGTAATTCCATTCAAATCAACCGAGTACTGGTATGTAGAAGATTTTACCTATGTCATCAACTTTGAGGGTTTGGGCTCCAATGTTGTCATGTTATTTTATACAACTGTATTTCTTATGTTAGATTTGCATAAACTGTATAACCTACAAGTAACATCAAATGTAGATAATAAGTTATTTTCCTAGTATTCGCAAATACAATAAAGACTTTATGATGGAAGATAAAACAAGCAAAGAGTATAAAAATGCACCGAAAAGAAAGAAGCTATGTCTATCTTCTAATGCTTATGGGGTATGAGATCCGTCAAATTTTGAATCTGAAATTTTAATTAAATTTGTCTAGTTCTTGATGAAAGGTCATATTCAACGTATGGGTTAGCCTAATATTTTAGCTAAAAGTTATTACTTGTTTCCAATAAGATCCTCTTTTTCTATGGAAATAGAAAGTAAATAATCCTAACTGACAGAAAGCAGAAAAAGCGTTTGGAAAATATATGCATTACTCTTTCCCAAATAGATTAAAGAAGCCGGAGATTTGGGCAGAAGCATGGCCATAGATGTGCTGGGCAAACTTGCTTAATTTGAGCTTTTAAGTGCAAGAAATGATACAAAGTATTTTGGAATCGTTACCTATTGTTTGGCACTTGATTGTCAAAGCGTCAAATCAAATCCCAAGATTTCAGCTTGTGCTTCCATTTTCATTCTCCGGTAGAATATAATTGTCAGACTTCAGAGCCTAAGAAATTGAAATAATGGCGTTCAATAAGTAAAAATGCTCGTCATTGTTTAATGAATAATTTAGATGAAAATGCATGGTTAATCACAAGATGGAGTTCAGTCTGAAACCTTACAGATTCATTTTGAAAGATGACAATGTGAGGATTCAAATGATCGCGAGGGATCCCACAATGTCCTCCTGTGGTCCTGCCTCTCCCACAATGTTCTCATGCCTCTCCCACAAGCTCCAATTTGACAAAGCCGACCTCAATTTTTACAATTTGTCTGCCCTAACCTTGAAATGGAGGTTGTGTGGTTCTATGCTTTCTAAAAATTGATTTAACAGAAGCTAAACGTTCGACGGTATATAAAGGGTAAAGAAGCCTTTTCAAAAAGTAAGATTACACTTTTTAAGAGCAATGTATAACCTTTTATGCATAAAATGTATTGAAACAAATAAGGGGTACCAACCCTCATTCACAATTATAATGTTGTTAGATATTCCCTAGGGGGGACACCCTTCAAACACCCACCAAGAAAAAGATCCTAAATTAATAAAGACATTAAAGAAAACACAGGCATGACAAAAAGGAGAGGAGAAACTATCCATGAAAGACCCACTGCTGTTCACTTTGCTGGCATTGTCATGTGTATCTGTGATTGTTGTGAAAGATCCATTGATTGCACTGTAATTCATGCATGTTTATTGCATGTTTTACGTGCATGTCTTGCACAAGGGTTCTTAGCACCTATTCCCAGACCTTCGCTAAGCCGGAACACTTTGTGCACCAGATTACCTTTTAAAACTGCTTTTTTTCCATTTGGAAATGTTTATGGAACTTTTATGGACTGCAGATATTATGATGATGCTGCCTGTGTATTGAGGAAGCTGTTTCTAGATGCCAAGGCCCCACATCTTTCCTCAACCATTCCACCAACCTTACCATGGAAGGTCAATGAACCAGCTCAGCCTTTCGAGGCCCTAACACGCCAAGGGAGTGGGCTCGGCACATTTGGGCAATCTGAAGAGCTACGCTGTGTAATTGCTGTAATTCGCCAGTAAGAACTAAGGAGACACATTTTCCTTTTTTGATGTCCATGGAAAATGTACATGTTCCCTTATATAATACATACTACTCTGAATTGGTTCAGTGGTGATAGAACTCCAAAACAGAAAGTAAAGTTGAAAGTTACTGAGGAAAAGCTGTTGAATTTGATGTTAAAATACAATGGTGGGAGACCAAGATCCGAGGTCTTCTACTCCTCTTCACTTTCCTATTTTGTCTGTCTATTCTCAATGTCTTCCAGTCATGATTTTTTCCTGAAATCATCTGCAGACAAAACTTAAGAGCGCTGTTCAATTGCAAGATCTCTTGGATGCGACAAGAGCTTTGATACCACGAACTAGGTAAGTCTTATAATTTCGTTTTAAAAAGGTACTCTGTTTGAACCGTCAATAAGATGCCATTATTTAAACAACAAAATTGAGATGCCATTATCTGTACATACTCTCTCTTTCCCTTTTATCTTCATTTTTTTCATTTTTCATCTCCAAATTGTATCAACTTTCCTTTTAGGAGAAAATTCTGCAGTTGATAACGGTTTACTTTATTAAAAACCATGCAAAATCAAATAGGGAGATAAAAATAGGGGATAGAGGGAGTATAATTTTTTTTGAATCTAATGATGATATTCTATAGAAAAAGGAAAGGCACGAAATCATTTAGATATAATCCACCCATGACCCATCTCTAATCTCTCAAAAGGTGAAAACCTTAATGAAAGTAAAGAGGAGAAGGTTGCTTGCTTATCTTTATGCCTATTAACATTTTATCAAAATGCCCCTGTTTCTTATTACCACTACCCTTGTCCTAAAAGGGATGCATAGTATTGGTGAACTATCAATCTGGGACCTGTAAAATGAAACATATTGGTATAAGGCCCAAATAATTGAAAACTCCAGGACTTAATTTGTCTTGAATTTTATTATTTTTTATTTTAAAAATTTAAAATATTATTTAATTTTGGGAAAAATAATATAAATACCCCAAACTTGGAATGAGTGTGAGATTGATACCCCAAACTTGTATATGTAATATATATACCCCAAACTTTATATAAAAAGTTATTTTCACACCATGATTGTTTGTTTTATAAATATAAATTTATTGGAATAAATACATAATTTAAAATACTCTAAGCTTTGTTAGGATGCAGTTAACATTTTAAAATTTCATTTGTAACATAAATATATTATATCCGGTACAATCTAATTGTTATTACATCCTCATAAATGTTTTGTGTATTTTAAATTATGTACTTAACACCATAAATTACATTTGTGAAAAAACATATAATCATGGTGCTAACATAACTTTTTATATAAAGTTTGGGGTGTATCTATTACATATGTAAGTTTAGGGTACTTACCTCACACCCCTTTAAAGTTTGGGATATTTAGATTATTTTTTCCTTAAATTTTATTAAACTAATAAACTTTTGTGAAGAAAAATTCATCAAACATTAGCAATGGAATTAATAAAAAATTAAATAAATCAAAACCTATGAATTTGTAGATCTTATCTTAGATTGATAGTTTTCAATCATTCGGGCCCTATATCAACACATTTCATCTTTCAGGTCCCAGATTGATAATTCATATATCTTTCAGGTCCTAGTTTGATAAAATTCCAAAACAATATTACAAACATGGCTTCTCTTAGAAGGTTTGCCATACTTTATGAAGCTTGCATCAATTACTGAATTACGTAACACTTCACTCCAACTATCTCCTAAATCTTTTGATTACTATCTCACCCCAAAATGAATCTTGTTTGTAATATTAAAAACAGAAATGACGTCTCCTTGGAGGGTGTAATATACAATCAATGATGATACTTAACACTATTTTGCTTGAGAGAAATAACAACTAGATCATTCTGAACTGATTCCATACTCTTGTTAAATAGATCTGGTCGGGAAAGCGATAGTGAAGCAGAAGACCTAGAGCATGCTGAAAAGCTTCGTCAAGTTAAAGCTGTTCTTGAAGAGGTCAACATAACCAGTTATCCATTTATTAATCTATAATTGCTTTAATGCACTTTCAGATGAAGTATACTTACACTGACAGATAGAGTATGCTTTCCACACGCACGATCTTAAGAGGGGCATGGATTACCTTCTCTGCGTATTTCATTCTTTAAAAATATTTCCTTTAGGTTATAGTTGATGTTTAAGTAGAGCTTTTGTTTTCAGGGAGGGCATTTTTCTGGTATTTATAGGAAAGTTCAACTAAAACCACTCAAGTGGGTTAAAGTTAGAAAACCTAATGGTGAAGGTGAAGAAGAAAGACCTGTTGAAGCTCTTATGGTTCTTAAATATGGTGGCGTTCTCACTCACGCGGGCAGAAAGCAGGTGCTGGATTAAACACAACGTCATTTTATTCAATCTTTCCTTGTGACCATGATTGATTTTTGGATTGCTTTTATTTTCCTTGTTTGTTGAGGTTGTGTTGCTAACTGCCTAACTCTTTTACTTTATGTGTTCTTATGAAGGCCGAAGAGCTGGGCAGATATTTTAGGAATAATGTGTATCCAGGTGACAATTTGACCTAATTTCTCTCTTCTTTGTAGAGAGTGATTGCTCAAGTTCATATCTCTAGGCTATGGCATACCTGCTTGCTTTGATTGCTTATGTTTCTTTGACCTAATTTTAGGAATAATGAGTATCCAGGTTACAATTTGACCTAATTTCTCTTCTTTGTAGAGAATGATTGCTCAAGTTTATATCTGTAGGCATACGGCATACCTGCTTCCTTTTATTGCTTATGTTTCTTTGTTTACTATCTATGGGATTGTCTTCTCAATGAAGCTTTGATACTGGCTTGCTTCATTATTATTATTATACTCCCTCCGTCCCATTAGAAGGTTCCCACTTTCCTTTTTTGGACGTCCCATTAGAAGGTTCCCATTTCCATTTTAGGAAACAATTAACAATCTTAAGTGACAAATGAATCATTAAATATTAAAAATAATACATTTATAACATCGCAGTTATCAATAGTAACTACATTATAATATATATCTATTAAAATTATTTCTCAAAATATTCTCGAATTACTTTATTTATTTATTGCCTAAATAATCGTGCCGTTTTGCTATGGGAACCTTCTAACGGGACGGAGGTAGTAATATTTATTATTGATTATTATAACTATTATAATTAGTTTTCTTTCTAAGTATTAGTATTAGTCTCTTATTGTTACTAGCGATAGTAATTCCCTATTAATAAAGGAAATCTATTTTAGTAAATATTCCTAGTAGCAGTGTTGTAATAGGTTATGGTTACTCTATGCTGGTCTACCAAGACTCTTGGAACTAGTATAAATAAAGTTGCTCTATTCATTAATAAAATGATTAATAATTTTGGAGTATTATTCCTTGGAGACTTGACAAGGTTGGGTGCCACATTTTCTTGCCTAAGGGCGGAGAAGTTCTTCATTTTATGGATTCTCGTTCTTTTATTATCATCTCCAATCACGCTCGTAACATTTTTTTTTACCATTTCTATGCCTGTTTTGAATTCCAGGTGAAGGTACAGGCCTGCTTCGTCTCCATAGTACATACCGCCATGACCTTAAGATTTATAGTTCAGATGAAGGTCGAGTACAGGTACACTATGTACCTCTCTGTATGATTTCTTAGTCGCATTTTGGTTCCAGTACGTATTTCTTAAAAGCATCTTGGTTCTTCTAGTGCCATTTACTTTCTTTTTTTATATAGATGTCAGCAGCTGCATTCGCTAAAGGGCTTCTTGATCTGGAAGGGCAACTAACACCTATACAGGTACACATCTTTGACCCTCATAGTTTTTTGTTTGGCATATTATGTGTTTGTTATGTCTCTGTGGATGAAATCACTCATTCTTTTGCATGTGTTTCCCTTTTATAAAGGTCTCTCTGGTTAGCAAGGACTCTTCCATGCTGGATGGACTTGAGAATGCCAGCATTGAGATGGATGAAGCAAAGGTTTTCTTACCTTGGCACTTATGCTGTCCATAATCGCTTGAATTGTATGCTAATATTCACATGTGATTGCAGTCTCTATTCAGTGCAAGTTATTGTCAATTCACAAAAAGATAATAGACAATTAGTTGGCAAACAGAAAATACAAGTTCAAATGTTTGACTATTTTTAATTGAGTACCATGTAGTAGTCCCTCCGTGGCTCCGTCCCACTATATTTGTCCCAGTTTTTTTCATTCTTCTTACTAAGTTTGTCCCATGCCATCACTGTTGTTGCGCCGTCGTCTAGGCATTGGCAACTAGGCGTCTAGGCATTGGGGAGTTGTCCAGGTGCCATAGCCTTGCCTGAAGTGACAATGCGACTGCGTTATCGTCCAGGCGCTGTCCAGGTGTTGTTGAGGAGAAGATGCAGCGGCAGAAATTAGAAATGGAGACTTTTTAGAAATTAGAAACCCAGCCCAAAAGAATACTTTAATTATAAATATAAGAGCCTGGCCTTACAGATTGACGAAGGAAGTCTAAATTTCAGAAAAAAGATCCCTGTGGCTAAAATTTATCATCTGTCACAGTACCCTCTTTGGTTGCAACTCGCAAGATTTTTATCTTCGGTCATTACTCATTACTTAGTTTCTTTCTCTTCTTCTTTTATGCTTTTCTTTCTATTCTATTATAATTTTGTTTCTGTTTATATACTTTTTATATATATGTGTATGTGTTTGTGTGTATATTGTTGGGCCATCGGTGTTATGCCAGATTGCCAGTATAGTGTCTACTTAATTATTATAGATTATACTTATACTAGTACTTCGTAAATATAATAGATGATGTAGTTCTTGATTCTTTTTGAGAACTTAGTAAGTTAGTAGTCCCTAATTTTATTGCTTATTTAAAATGATTATTTTTACTCTTGTTTTGAATTAATTTCAATTCTAGGTACTACGTAGTATATAATTAACTTTGTAATATATAATATATCAGAAATTAAATATTTTAAATATACTATTTTACAGATATCTGATGAGGATTAGTTTGTCACAAGAGAAATAATACTCTTACATAAAAATAACAAACAAAAACGCACATAACAGACAAACAAGTAAGATTTTCAAAACTTTAATTATGCGTCTATCCCACATTTTCCTATTATTTAATCGTTATGCACATTGTGATGTAAGAATATCATTTTTGTTGTCACTATTGCATGCACAGGAAATATCCTCTTCGCTGTTTTAATCATTATAAGATCTCGAAGAGCACCCTATTGTTAATTTCATCAACTCATGTATGAATAAAATTTGCAGATTAATAAGTTTATTTCCAGATCTCATTGACTATGGAATTGCAATATTTTGGCTCTATACTGTGTATTGAACCAGAAGTTTCCCTTGTTCCCCTCAGGCCAGATTGAATGAAATAGTAACTTCTGGAACAAGGGCTTATCGTAGCAACGGGTCATCAGAGAAACCGTGGATGGTTGATGGAGCCGGAGTCCCTTCTAATGCATCTGTACTTCTGCCCAATTTGGTAAAAATCTAGAGATTTGTCTAATGTGTAACCATTTTTTTGGCTAAAAAGCAGTTCAATGAGGATTGCAGACTTGCTAATCTTTCTTTCCTCGACCATTTGGTTATTATTCTCCCTAATTTCTTAATAACATCCCATTTTTTCAATTTTGGTTTTAACTCTTTGCCTCTCTTTTATTGTTTTCTTTACCTCTCTAGTCTGTACCCATGCTTTGTTAGTGCACATTGTAATTTTGATTTCTAAAAGATATTATTGAACAGGTGAAACTGACTAAGAAGGTGACAGAACAGGTGCGACTTCTTGCCAAGGATGAAGATGAAGAACTTGCAGACACAAGCTCTTATGATGTGATTCCAGCTTATGATCAAGCGAAGGCTCTAGGTAAAACAAACATAGATGTTGACCGTATTGCTGCAGGTCTACCCTGTGGTAGTGAGGGGTTCCTTCTCATGTATGCAAGATGGAGAAAACTTGAAAGAGACTTGTATAATCCACGCAAGGAGTAAGTCTTACTGTACTAGACTGACTATTCTGGTTCTTCTTGATCTCTCTTGAGATTCTACTCATTCATGATGTTTATTTGTCAATGCGTAACATAATAGGCCACACTTCAGATGTTCCTATCTTATATCAGACTGATGTAGTATCAGACTACTGGTACTGGGCTATTAGACTTTTGATATTTCTATTGTAATATCCCCTAATGCTGTGTTTGAATTGCAGACGCTTCGATATTACCCAAATTCCTGATGTTTATGACTCCTGCAAGTACGTTATCCCACACCACTCTATTACTCTTGTTGTACATGTTGAAGATGTATAAAGCGAGGTTTCTTTGTGTTACTTGGTGAAAGTATTAATGATATAGATTTCTAGGAGACTAGGACTCCAGAGGCTTTTCTATGTTCATTTTCTTCCACCATTTCACCTTATTTCTCTGCTTGGGTTCTCTACCTTGGGTTTGGAGAATCAACTGCTCTAATGGATATGCATCTAACATAAACTTCACACAAAGATATTCCTGAACTTTTTTGCTCTTCGCAATTTATTCAAAGAGAATTTTCTTCTAGAAAAAACTTCCCATCATTTGTAAATGGCTATTCAATTGAGACTCTTTTTCTTGAAGTTGGGAATCTTTTACGATGATGGAATTATTTGTTTGGCTTTTGCGACTATGTGTACATGCCATATGTTTAGCATGTGTATGTCTCTAACATGTGTGTGGGTCTCCAGCAGGTGTGTTTTCTAATTCATATCCTTGTATTTATATGTGATCCCAAGAGATCCTGTATATATCTACAATGGAGCATTTCTAGCTAATATTGACTGACATTGCTGTACTGCATCTTGTTGCATGTAGGATATTAATTCATTCCCTCTATTTCTCCCCTTTTAAAACAGGTATGATCTTTTGCACAACTCACATCTGAATCTGGTGGGGTTAGATGCACTCTTCAAAGTTGCCCAGGTATGAAATACATATCACATTCCCTCCCCCTGGTTATGGTGTTGGTGTGTGACCTAGCGGTCACAGGTTCAAGTCTTGGAAGCGGCCTCTTGTTAAAATGACAAGGGAAGGAGTGCTCCTTATACACCCTTGTGGTCAGACCCTCGCCTTGCAGGGACACGAATGTGCACCGGGCCTTTATCACACTCCCCCGCCCCAACAAAAGTATATAAAATAAATTCTAGAAGTGATAGCTGTTATAAGCTCAAAACTTTCTTTTACTACAAGTTCTGTTAAAAATCACATTTGACCTATGGTATACTTCTTGTCTTTCAGCTACTTGCTGATGGTGTTATTCCTAATGAGTATGGGATTAATCCAAAGCAGAAGCTAAAAATTGGATCAAAGGTATGTCTCTTGTCTAAAACATGTCATAACTAATTCAATTTTTTCCTTCTTACCCTGCAAATGATTCATTTTTCTGTGTATGGTATTTCAGATTGCTAGACGCTTGTTGGGCAAAATTTTGATTGATTTGAGAAATACACGTGAAGAGGCTACTAGTGTTGCTGAGTTGAAGAATTCTCAAGACCAGCAATCAACAATTAGCAAGATTGGTGGGGAAGAAGAGATAGAGCATCACTTCAAACCCCATGTACGTTCAAAGGAAGAGACGGAATATCTTCCCAAGCCTCATTTGAGGACTGATGAACAACCTAGAACTCCTAGGAGATCTAGCTTCACCAGTGAAAAGTCTATGGATCAGGATGATGACGATGACAAGGAAACCCAGTACCGATTGGATCCTAAGTATGTTAACCTTATAGCCTACTTGTTTTTCATAACCCTATGTTGCACGAAATTATTTACAAAATCTTGCATAGTTTAAATCAACCATTATAACATGACATGTATAATTTATTTATTCCAGATATGCAAATGTGAAGACTCCAGAACGGCATGTACGGACACGACTTTACTTTACATCAGTGAGTACCTGTGTTAAGGCTTATTGCTCGTATTTTTATATATGAATAGTTAAATTGCTACTTCCAATGAGCTCATGCTCATCTAAGTTGGCATGGAAACACAAAATAGGAAATATGAAACTGGAAATGCGAGAAACATCATTTTCAACTGAAAAATAGTTGCAGTAAAGGTTTGTTGTTTCCTAAAGGTTTCATAAAAGTTTCCAAACGCAGAAGTGCTACCCCCTTGGAGTTTCCGGCTTCAAACAGTGCTCATTTCAACTCTTCTACTTCGTTTATAAACATCCTCAGACATTAAGTGTGGAAAACAGTCTTTTGAGAATATTTTCGTCCCAAAAAAGAGAGCGGTTTCAAAATTCAATTTTCATTTATAAGCTGTTGATGTAACTCCAAGTAGCAAGCTGCTCATTCAGTTACTCCAAACAATCTTTGAAATTAGTTTAGGGGTATAAAATGCTTGTACCTCCTTGCCAATGTATAAAAAAAAGCTTATACCTTGATTGAGTTGACTAAAAATAAAAAGTTTTACCTTGCTCAAACGAGACTAGTTTCATTGGGAGGAGGTAGATTGAAATGTTATATGATCCCCTATTATCTTATTCCTTCAATTTTTTATAAAGATCAAACACACACACACACATCAATATATAGACCCCAGCCAAACTGACCCCAAGGTTCTAGAGCGAAGCAGGTAGGCCCCTCACATTCAGGGACCATAATATTTTTCAAAGTTTCTTAAAGGCATGGAATTGCTTTGTCGCCTTGGTTTTTGCCAATGTGGACGCTTGTATTTTATCATGAGTTAATTACTCATACAGGAGTAAAAGTAATAGAAATTGCACATATAGGAGTGCAGACGGTAATAAAGTTTAGTAGGAGTAAAATATACATGGGTGGACCAAAATAACCCTAAACTAATTATGAGAAGAAATTGGATAAGTGGTGCCAGAACGGGAAGGACAATTCGCAGTGAAGAACTTCTCTCTCATGCCATTTCTTTCCGCCCGCCGTCATATCCCTCCAGCGCCTCCCTCACAGGTGTTACCAACCATTGTCGCTTAGACCGGATTCACCATCCGCCGCCGCCGCTCTGGTTATCGTAATCACCTTTTATAATATATGTCGCCACTGCCAATTCCTAGGCCACACTGCACCTCCGAGCACAACCGTCTCGAGGAGAACTTCAATGTCATAATTCTGCCATTAAAGTAGCAAATTTAGCATTGAAAATTTAATTTCAAATTTGCATGAACAAGAATTTCGAATCTGGCATAAAGTTGACAGATTTATTTTGGAATATTAATTCAAAACTGCCATTAATTTGGCAAAAATATGAACTCAATAACCATAAACTCAAAAATTATTATTTCTAATGGAATAACCTCTTTAAACAATAGGAAATCAGAAAATTGAAGTTAATTACAAAAAATCATAAGAACATGTTCACAAAAAAGTATTTCTTCCATATTAGGATTATCAATCTACAAACTTCTTCCATAAACTTGGCAGAATATGAAGTTTTGTTACTATAACTTGGCAGAATCTGAAGTTATCTTCCAAAATTTTAGAAAATCATTTTTTTTTTAACTAAGAACTCAGAAATCGGAAGTGTTAAATAGAAATGTGAAAATTGGAAAAATCAATTCAAATCCAGAAAAACAAAGAAATATGAGTATAATAAAAAAAATTATGTCAATACTCAGAAAAATAGAAGGAGAGGAGAAGAAGGAACCTCATAGGCGGTGGTGCATGGTGAAGTAGCGGCGGCGTGAAAGAGCAAGAAGTTGATCGATGTTATGTCATATGTGTGCAAGCTGATACGGCAATAGTGAGCAGGGGAGGGGCGTGTTCAAGAGAAAAGGGGGAAAGAGGGATATCTGGCAGGAGATAAGAGTAGGGATGGACTCGGGCCGGGCGGCCCGGTTACTGTTTGAACCGGCCCGGCCCGGGAACCGGTCCGGGAGGCGGTTCGGGTCGGCCCGGCCCGGTTACTGTGCGGTTCGGGCCCGGGCCCTTTGATTGGCGAACCGGCCCGGCCGGTTCGGGCCAAATTATTATTATTTTTTTTTTTTGAATTTTTTTTAAGTTTTTGGGTTGGGCTTGGTATTTTGGGCCATTTGAGGTGGTTTGGGGTGGTTTGGATGTGACTGTGTGAGGGGGAGGGTTGGGGGTTAATTAGGAAAAGCCAAAAAAAAAAAAAATAGAACCGAGGCCCGGCCCGGCCCGAACCGGAACCGGGATTACCCGGGCCGGTTCCGGGCCTCCCATTTCTGAACCGAGGCCCGGCCGGGCCCAGGCCCGAACCGGGCCCGGTCCACCCATAGATAAGAGAGAATCATACATGTGAGAAGCTAGGGAGAAGAAAATTTCAACGCAGGGAGAAGAGGATAAGGGGATAAGGGGTAATAATGGGATGCTAAATTCTTATGTTTTCAATAGGAGTAAATTGCTCCTATTTGAGGAAAAAAACATACATACTCCTATTTAAGAATTTCATACTACTTTTACTCCTATATGGGGCAATTATATATTAACTCTTGAGTATTCCATTATATATTAACTCCTCTATCAATCATCTTATGATAGGAATCACATATTCATTCTTTCATGAATGTTCTGCGATATTGCAACCTGGACGAATCTCTTCAAGGAGAAGACAGCCTTGTTTGTGATAATGCTTTGGACCGCTTATTTAGAACAAAAGAGCTTGACTATATGAGTTATATTGTATTAAGGATGTTCGAAAACACTGAGGTTGGTATTGCATTTATCTTTCGTTAGAGGATTATAGTTGTATTGGTAACAGGAGGGACTGTTTTTCTTTAATGATTCCATTACCGTAATTTGTATGCAGCTGAATTTAGAAGACCCGAAAAGGTTCCGTATAGAAATGACATTTAGCCGTGGTGCAGATTTATCACCATTGGAGGTAAGCCATTTGCATTATGGAGTCTTCAAAGGAATTTTAGAGGAAAAAGCCACTTAAAGCCCGTTTGGCATGGCGTTGAACCAGATAACACAATTCTTTTAAAGATGTTAAGCAACATGGGCGTTATCCCTCACCATGTGTTGGACCAGAAAAACAGTTCATCTATATAAACTTTTAGTGTTAAATTTTCACACTAAATTTATCTGTTTGCCAAAATAATGATGGGCCAGGGCCCGGGATAGCCCACCCTAAGCTTCCCATTGTCAAGCAATATGTTGCTATTTTATTGAAGCAACAATGATTTTGGGCCTAAGACTTAATTGTTGTTTATAACAATGATTTTTGCTTTTATAAGTTCAGAAAACCTTTTTCAACCATTTCCGAAAAGTACCTAATTAGAGAAGTGCTTTAAATGCTTATACACAAACAAGTGTTTGTAGGGGAAAAAAGGGAAAATCGTGCTTTTTAAACTTTAAAAACACTTATTGAGCTTAGATATGGAAACATGTTCTCATAAAGCACTTATATAGGGTATATGTAAATGGTGTCTTGCTTTTACTCTCTAGAAGGCTTACCCCTCACACACCATTGTGGTGGGACCCCAATCCCTCTACTTGCAGGGATGCCTTTGTGCACCAGTCGGCCCTTTTGTGGAAAATGCTTAATGGTAAAAGTCGACGGTGTTGGAAAAGAAATATGATTTTGGAAAAGTAAAAGTTGGAGCAATTGGTAATTTTTTTTTATGTAATAGAAAAAGTGAAACACAATTTAAAGTGAGCCTCTCCTTGTTTCTAGGTTTAAAGAACTTAATTTAGTCCGGAGTTCCTATATAAAATCACTAGTTTTAGTTTTTTTAAGCAAAAAGGTGAAACACAGTTTAATTTTTTTGCTAACATTGCTAATCCCAATTCCCAAGCGATTATGTACTCCATACATTTGTAAAAAAAACTGTCATATGATTTTGCAGAAACAAGACATAGAGGCAACTTCTTGGCGTCAGGAGCACACATTGCCAATAATGGGCCCTGAAAGGCTTCAAGAAGTCGGATCATATCTGACATTGGAAAAGGTGGAAACAATGATTCGCCCCTTCGCCATGCCTGCTGAAGATTTCCCACCTCCATCAACCCCTCAAGGATTTTCAGGCTACTTCTCGAAAAGTGCGGTGTTAGAGCGTTTGGTAAACCTTTGGCCATTTCACAAGCATGGGAGCACCAACGGAAAGTAGGGGCTCATTATGTGAAATTACAAACGGCCAGGATTGTTGAAACTTGGAAGATGAGCTTGCCTTTGTTATAGTCTCTAAAATTTGTTACACTAGTCTGGTAATCTGGTATGAATGTTTTGTACTTTCTAGTCAATCCCTAACCCACCTCGAAATAAATTATGCCAGGTTGATGTTCAGGGCATGCTTGTTTGAATGTATTGAACTTTAAAGAACATATATAAACAATAGAAACTAAAAAGTAAAACTATTTACCTGTGCAAATGGTTGTATCACTTGTATGATACTATGATCTAGTTTTTTTAGAGCCTGTATCGCAGTATTGGACCGGTTCTTGCGTTAATTACTTAATTGTTTTACCACCTCACATACAAGGACGACATGAAATACTGAAATAGTTGAGATCGAGTAGTCGTAATATTAAGTTTTTTTTTGAGTAAGTCGTAATATTAAGTTAAGCATTAATGAGTAATACTCAATTTCATTATTGATATTATTATTATTATTATTATTTTATCATTCTTATTTATTTACTTAATGTGTCTATAGCATTATTAATTGTATCATTTGTATGTATTAATATAATGGAAAAATTCACATAAATAATCTTAACTGTTAGTCGTCTTCCAATATTAATCTGAAATATGAGCTATTCAAATATAATCTAAATTATAAGGGGTATGTGACTGTTCTCAAAATTATTAGCGGTATTCCAATATTAATCCAAAATACTTCATATGAGTTATTCAAATATAATCTAAATTATAAGGGGTATGTGACTATGTTCTCAAAACAAACCGGTGACCTGCATAAACCTATTTAGCATGTCACCGAAACACGTGGCCTATTTTTATTGGGTTTCAATTATACTATGTATTTGTTTTTCCTTTTTAATTTATTTTCTTATTTCTGTTTCTTTCCTCTGTTTCCATCTTCCGCGGTTGTTGATCTTTTGCGGTTTTGCCAGGATGCATCACCCACCCTATTCATCTTTAGAAGCAAATTGCTCATCCCCAGAAAATATTTGTTAGATGAAGTAGGGGCGGGATCGGTCTTGTCTGGGTCGGGTTGTTGCTAAACCCGGAAATTACTCGAAAGGTCTCGGGTTATGAAAATTAGGGACTAGAACAAAGTCCACTATATTCGGTCCGAGTCGGTTTTTGGTAGCCCGGATTTGGTCCGGGTTCGGGTTGGGTCGGTTAAAGCCCAAACTTGAAATATCTCATTGTTCTTTTATATTTTAACACCTATTTTCAAACAAAATTAATCAAAAATACAAATCGCAAATAATAACACAAATATTAGTCTCCAAAATCACCAACAATTCAAATCTAAATAAGATAATTATCTTCATATTTTATGTAAGATGCATGTAAATAAATCATATAGGTTTCTTAAAAATATTACGAAATAAAATTTATAGATAAAATGTGACTAGAGTTGCTATAAATATATTTTCATGGTCATTACGCTAAACAAATTGAACTTATTTGTAGTTACTAAAAGTTGTTAAATCATTTTTTATGCACCGTGATCATAATCATATATAAGAAAATATTTATAAAGTTATATTCATATATTATATTAATTTTATATTAAAGCTAATTGTTTCGGGTTTTTATCGGTCCGGGTCGGGTTATAGATTTTAAGGCAAGTTAATGAGCCCGGAATTTCGGGTTCGGTCCGGATTTTTTTAATTCGGGCTGGTTAAAAAGAAAAAACTCGGACCGGGATCATAATTCGGGTTGGTCCAGGGTCAGTTTCCGGGTTTCGGTTCGGTTTTTCCTACCCCTAATTGATGAAGGTCTCCTACTTCATCTCTGCTAGAATATCAACACCCCTTATGACCTCTAAAACGGGACGATGAGAGTAGAACCTTTAAAACCCTTCAATGACTGTTCAACAACTGGTTGAGATAGAGGCATAGAGCCATGGAGCGACATAGAAGACAACAAATCGATCAATATAGATCGAAAATTTTTCTGCAACTAAAGGGGATAAGAAAAAGAATACCAATTACCATAAACAAGAAGAAATTGGGATGAACTAAGGGAGGGAAAGTGATAAAGAAAATAGGGAAGAAAAGTAAAAAAAATAGGGGGAAATCGTCGGCACTATGTGTTTGGCCGGAGAATCGCCGGAGAAGACAACCGGTGTAATATAATGGTTGATCCACCCTATACTTTACCATGCTTTCTCTTCGGCGACCACCATCTATCGACACCCACAAGGAGGGAAAAGCTAGAGACGAGATCTCTATACCCCTTTCACCCTTTAAGAAAGCATTTCATTGTTTGTGAAAAAAGAGGAAAAATGATGTTTGGAAAGTGTTTGAGAAGATGAATGACGTATGGAAGGTGATGCTGAAAACATGTTCTAACTGTTGTGCAAGTTCTTAGGTCACGTGGATTAATTTGAGAAGACACCATTTTGGGATTATTTTAGAATTACTTATATTTGGAATTATTATTGGAAGAACGTTAATAGTTCGGATTATTGATGTGAATTTGTCTTAATATAATTATATACTCCGTAATACATAGTAGTGTAAGTACTAAGTATGTGGTATATTACCTTTGTTCTCTTTTAAGTGTAACACTTTCTTTTTCGTGGTTGTCAACGTGCAACTTTATTTCTTAATAAATATTTAATTATATGTGTTTGATATTGAATTGCTAAAGTAAGAATAAAGTGAAAATGGTTTAGAGTCACACAAAGTTTATCAAACTTGGTATAAGACAATCAGAGTGTGATTGTCCGAAAATGAAAAAATGGGACAATCTTAGCGGAATAGAGGGGGTGTTATTTAATTTTTTATATTATCTCTCATTGCTGCAACTTCTCTCCATAGAGTCAGTTTGGGACTAGGTGTTAATCGAGAGAGTCGAGTTCAAGCCAAACTTGATGAAGAAAGACCGAGTTTGAGTCGAGGGGTACAAGGTGGATCTTGATCATTCTTCTAACTTTTCCACCACTCAACCAACTGAGCTACCTATTATGTTTCCTTGTCATATATGTTTACTTGCACAGCTATACCTAATATGAACTAAGTTCAATTAATTCTAGGATTATTAGCTTATTTTATCTCAAATTATCATCAAATTCACAAATCTATCATATTGTTTGACTTTTGTCAAAAAAAAGACTCAAACTTCATCTTTTTCAACATATTTTCTTTTTTGTTTTTTCAAATTACACATTTTTATCAATACAATAACATATAAGCAATACAAGTTTGTAAACTTAAAACTAGAAAGAAGGGAAAAAATGTGAAATATAAATATGATTTGCTTCTTAAGTTTTACTAATTCATCAATTGAAAGTTTAATTGTGAGAAAGGTTAAAGTTTGAGTCTTTTATTAATAAAAGTGTAATTATGAGATAGATTTGTGAATTTGATGATAGTTGAGGATATATTGAACTAATAATATTTAATTCTACTTAATTAATTAATATGCTTGAACTTCGTTTTTATGCTAAAGTCCGCATAATATTTTTTAGCACAATGTTCAAAATGTTAAACAACACATGAATCTATAGTATATTTTTAATACGTGGTATAAGATCTATATAATTTTTATGTGCGGATCCATAATTAATATAAATACAAGATGTAACATCATGTGTTTGTGTGTGTGAGAATCTATAATTTTCGAGTGTATGTATAGCTTGATTTTAACTTGGTTTGAGTTCGAACGGAGTCAATCTTAAATGTAAGTCGGTTTGCTTGATTAGTCTCCATCAGGACACTAATTATCATATAAACATTTGTACTTTTGATTAATCAATCATATACCCTTTTATTTACATATTAGTACGTATTAATTAATGTAACCTTTCCCGTTTTGTTGGATAATGATTAATAACTTCTTAGAAAGAGAAAACTAAAACACCTAACAACCTTCACTCGTATGAATTAATTCAGGGCGCGTGGAGTCCGGGATTTTGTTTCCCTCTTCAAAACAAACATGCAAACGGAAACAGCTTCTCTCTGAATTTGATTGGATGATATACCCGTTTTTGGTAATCAGTATACTGATGAAATACTCCTTTTTTTGCATATTAATCCACCGCTTTCAGGTGAAGCTACCCATTCCAACCCTAGCAAACTTGCCGGAAATTTCGTCCACCACTTTCGTCTCTCCCAAGGTTATCTCTTTTTATGCTCAGCTGTTTCATATTTCTTCAGAAACATTATCTTTTCACGCCTCATTCTGTGGTGCTTCTTAGTGTTCTCTGCAAAATTGTAATATTTTTTGTTTAAACTTGTTAGCGAATTGTAGCCCGCCAGTCTTTTTGAATTGTGCTTTTATGAACTGGGTTTTGTTTTTTTTTATAACGTCTGTGGCAATTATCTGTTATTCCCCCCAGTTTGCTTAGCACATAACATGTGTGTTGCCTTGAAAAATTTTCATAGATTGCTCTGCTTTTCTAACAGTTTAGCGCTATGTTTGTTTTGTAAATGCATGTGTATGTGATCTGTGTGTGTTTAAGTGATCCGAAGTGTAAAATATGGTGTTTTTGTAGATTTGAAGGATGGGTCAATCATTTGGATGCCTTATAGTGGATCAGTCAACTGCAGTTGTGAAGGAGCACTTTGGCAAATTTGATTCAGTGATGGAGCCTGGGTGTCATTTTGTTCCTTGGTGTTTCGGTTACAAGGCTGCTGGTACCCTATCTCTGCGTGTCCAACAGATTGATGTTCGTTGTGAAACTAAAACAAAGGTATTTTAGACATCCTCTTTGGAAGTAGATAATCTTTGTGGTAGATGGGGGGCTACCTTTTCTTTAGTTTCACTTTTTTTTGAGGTGTTATTGTTAAGGATTTCAGGGTGTGTTGGTCTTTACTATTTACAGGACAATGTGTTTGTGACTGTGGTGGCGTCCATTCAGTACCGAGCTTTGGCTGAGAAAGCTTCTGATGCTTTTTACAAGCTTTCAAACACAAAGTCACAGATCCAATCCTACGTCTTTGATGGTAGGACTATTCTCCTCCGCTTTATTCCTTGTATGCTGTAACCTTTGCTTGCTTGCTTACCCGTTTTCTCAGATCATTGGGTCGTAGATGCTATTTGTGAGGAGTTGGTAACTGGAAAGTTTATGCTAGGAGTTTACATCAATATGGTTTTGCATAAGATTGTGGTTATGTAAATTGGGGACATGGAGATATAACTAATGTCTGCTGATGGTGGGGCAGTGATAAGGGCCAGTGTTCCAAGATTGACCTTGGATGCTACATTTGAACAGAAGAATGATATAGCTAAAGCAGTAGAGGGAGAACTGGAGAAGGTTATGATATTGACCACTTAAAAATAATAACGTTTTGATGTTAACTTATTTTGTTTTATATACCATTAAATTTATAGTTTATTTTT